GGTCACAGTGAGTAGTTAAACTGTAAGGTCAATTATTCAGGTCAAACTAGTAGATCCGGGTCAATCAGTTTATTGGAATATAAAAATTTATCTAGACCTAGAATAATTGACCCTGGTAAGTTAGATAACCTAGAAACAAACCTTGCCATTGCATTACATTCGTTTACATACAATTACACAATGACGAGGGGTGAAAGTAAACGAAATTTATATATAATTAGGTGGGGAGAGAGGTTAATTGCTGAATCCTTCTCCATTAAATCCACACTATACACATGCAATCGAAACAGCTCAACGCCTATACTGGTGATATAGAGGAAAGCAACAAACAACAAGGAGAGGGGAGAAATAGAGCGAGACTAAACTGATATGATTATGAGCAATAATTTTATGTTCGAGAAATAAGGATAACATGGAGGGTTTCATCATGAGCTGACATCAGTTAGAGAACCACTGGAAAACCTGCAGGAATGGTCTACGAGATCGCCTTGTATTTAGAAGGTCCTGGGTTTGAACCTTGGCGGTGGGTGAGTACCGATGAAGAATGGCAAACTAGGACGAAACAACTACGCAGTACTCCCTGTAGGTTTTCCAATGGTTCTCTAACTGATGTCAGCTCATGGTGATGAAATCCTCCATACAATCAAACAAAATCCCTACAAAACCAATACTTGAAAATAAGGATGAGCTACCATAATTCGCCTCTTCTATGTGTACGTACTAGTTTGACTGCAGCTGTGGAGCTGTGGAGCTACATTAAGCAAGTTCATCATCGTATTTCCGAACATCATCCTTGCATCGTTAATCAAGGAACAAACAAGATCTATTCATGGCTCTGTTTTAGCACACCTTGTAGATAGTGAGCATAAGGTTGACGTTATATACATTATTTAAAATTATTTATCGCATACCTACTAATCTTAATTTTGCTTTACGAGTTCTTCCTCTACATACACAAATGAAGCAACAGGAATCCACCTGAAGAAGTCAAACCTGTGTATTCACAAGAAATTTATACAACCATTTTCCTTATCGTGACCATTGTTACATGAATGTAAAAAAACCTGACTACTTCGCCTCCTCCTCTTCCTTTTAAACCCTTAAAAATTATAATTGTCTAAATTATGTGATCTTTAATTACATGTTATCATTGTCCGAATCGTTTTATTTCTTTTTGATTGCATGGAGGATTTCATCATGAGCTGACATCAGTTAGAGAACCACTGGAAAACCTTAAAGTACTGGGCAGCTGTTTCTTACGTCCTAGTTTGGGACTCTTCATCAGTTTGCACCCACTGGGGTTCGAACCTAGGACCTTCTGGTTACCAGGCCAACGTGCTCGTAGACCATTGAGCCACTGGGACCCGACCCAATTTCTCCTTAACAATCTGTTATGCAATCAACTTGTGCACATGCTCATTCCTTAATTACTGTTCATTTCTTCAAAATTGTGCATTATGCAATAATTTCTGCTCGAAACCTTTTCATCCAGTTAATAATACTGCATCCCTGTGTGGGTTATTTCAAATAAACTTATCTAATATGGAATTGTTCTTCGATTGTCCTCAATTGTTTGTGATGTAAATGAGGGAGAGAGAGAGGGGGGTGGGTGGCTCACAGTCTACATATATATTATTATTATTATTAGAGAATTACTTAGAAAAATAGTTATCCAGATAAATTCATTGAGAAAAATATGAATTCAGCACCTAGGAGAGTCAGTATTGCTACAGTTCGGAAAAAACCAATGTTCATAAAACTGCAGTTCCTCGGAGATAACATCAGCGAAATCATAACACAGCGCCTGAAGAATGCAGTTAAAAGAGCTTATTATGCAGCAGAGGTACGTTGTCTCTTCAGAACCAGCCCTACTCTACGTTCGAGAAATAGGGATAAACTACCTAAATTTGCCTCCTCTATGTGTATTTACCAGTTTGACTGCAGCTGCGGAGCCAGCTACATTGGGCGTACAATTAGGCAGGTTCATCACCGAATTTCCGAACATCATCCAACATGGTTAAGCAAGAGACAAACAAGATCTATTCGTAGCTAGTTCTGTTTTAGCACACCTTGTAGATAGTGAGCATAAGGTTGATGTTATTACAGCATTTAAAATTATTTATCCCATTCCTACTAATCTTAATTTTGCTTTACGAGTTCGTCTTCTATATACAGCTGGAGCAATCAGAATCCACCTGAAGAAGCTAAGCCTGTGTTCAGAAGAAATTTGTACAGCCACTTTCCTTACCTTGGCCATCGTTACATGACTGTATAAACCGGACTACTTCGCCCCCCTCCCCCTAAACCTTTAAAATTATAAAAATTATAATTTTCCAGATTATTTTATTTTTATTTATTTAGACCACTTCATCTTTAATTACGTGTTATCCTTGTAAAATTAATTTATTCTATCCATTTCTACCTCTTTAATGTGTACTGATTTTCTTCGTTAATTATCAACCCATTGACATTTTGACACTGGTTAATTATTGTTAACAAACATATCAGTGCCACTTGATTGGTAAATTGTTGTGTATTGTAATAAAAATGCTATACGAGTATATTAGAGTAGAGCCAGAGAGAGATAAGGATCTAATTGAAAAGTAAATATTTCTTCGCTCAATCTTTCTGTTTTCCGAATGTCTAAATGGGGATTTTTTCTATGTTTAAGTATATTTTAACAGTAGAAGGCCAGACACGGAAGCCAAGGTACATTTTCAAGTGATCAAATCGCCTGTATCACACCACCACAATCTGTTTACCTGATAAAATTCCCTACTATTGTGATGAGAAAGTGCTGAAGTGTAGTGTCGAAATGTAGTTCATTGAAGTATACTATGTAATGGAAAAACCACCACCACCACTAGAGTACTGGAGAGCTGTTCCCCGCCATCCTAGTTTGGGACTCTTCACAGCCAGGGTTCGAACCCAGAACCTCCTGGTTACAAGGCCGGTGAGCGAGCTAGTTCGTAGACCATTAAGCCACTGGGATCCACCCGATCCAATGGCCAGCCAGTATATGAATTCCAACTTCTGCCAATTCACGACATAGTGTGACCACTAGCAAATCGTCCTCATGTCCGATCTGTCTTTATTACATTACATCGAAACTGGATTGTGCTTCCCTGTAAATCTTGTATTAATGGCATAAACTAATGTAATATAATAAGATAATATCATCATGAAGAAAATAAAAGACAGATTCAGCGAAGAAAATATTCTTTGTCGATGAAATCATCTTTAGAGGTGGCTGTACAGTCGTATTTATACTTACCAAAAAATATATAGTGGTCTGTTATTGAGTAATAGGGGTGGTGGTGACATCATTGATATAACTACTCAGAAGTGGCTTTAGAAGTAAAAAGTAAAAGTCGTAAATTACGTGGAACTCCTTACCGGCACAAAGATAGAAATTTGATAAGGTTAAAATTGCTATTGAGTCAGAATAAAGGTATTTGAGTGTCAATTTAACAAGTGTGAAGAGGGTGTGAAAATATACAAAAGGAGCATATGAGAGTGATAATAGTGAATTAATTATTAAAGCAAAAGCAAACTAAAAGTGAAATTAGAATGAAAAGAAAAAATCAAAATTTATTTTATTTACAAGGAACGATTAGTGAAGAGGTTAAGACCAAGGTAGAATAAGAGACTGGACAAACTTTTCTGTATACAGAGTTCAGGGTTGTATTGATGAATTGCCAGAGCCTCCGCCATACACAAAAGCCGAAACCTGACGCCCTTTGTACCATTTGGCTTCACTTTGTAGATGATCTTGAAAGATGACTCCGGTGGAGCTACGTGGCCTGAGTTCACCAAATGCTCGAGAATTGAGCAAGTAATTGTCTTGCATTGTCCCTTTGCTAACCATGCCGGATAATGTTCAGAGATGCGTTTGGAAAGCGTGCACTTTGTGCGGGCGGCCAATATAACTAGGTCCACACGAGCAGGTGAATTTATAAATTTATTTATTTTTTAATTTTTGATTACAGCTTGATTCCACACCGTATTTTCAGTACATGTGTGGAATTTTCAGCATGGATATCGGTAGCCCAAATTTTGCAGGCTGACCATAGATATCGGGTGTGCGTCGGCAGGGGATCGAACTCTGGACCATGTGCATGGTCGGCGAGAGTCCTAACCACTGTGCCACCGACGCACACATCGAGGTGGCCCAAAGTGGCAGTTTATCCTTCACACATCCGTTGATCATTTGTCGGCTGTAGAAGTTGATACGTAGCTCAGCCATAAATAAGGCTTTCTTCAGTGATCTGCATAAGCGATTCTTTAGGATCTCAGCTGCGGTATCACCTTTAAATTCAACACTCATAAATAGCAGTTTCTTTGGCACCTTCTTAACCTTCTCACTAATCGTTCCCTGTTATAATAAAAAAAAGTTTTGATTTTTTCTTTTCTTTTTTGTAATTTTTAACCTTACTTTTAGTTTTCTTTTACTTTAATAAGTAATTCACTATTATCACTCTCATATGCTCTTTTTGTATATTTTCACACCCTCTTCACACTTGTTAAATTGACACTTAAATACCACCTTAATTCTGACTCAATAGCAATTTTAACCTCATCAAATTTCTATCTTTGTTCCGTTGAGTACCACGTAATTCACAACTTTTATTTTTCATTTCTAAAGCCACTTCTGAGTAACTGTAACAATTATTTCACCCTCTCGATTACTCAGTAATAGACTGCTATACATTTTTCGTAAGTATAAATACTACTGTACAGCCGCCGCCTCTGTAGATGATTTCATCGATAAAGAATATTTTCTTCGCTGAATTAGTCTTTTATTTTCTTCATGACTCAATGAGTGTTTTAAGTGATAATAGCATAAAATGACGTCATTAGGTAAAACAATGGACTGTCGACTTTAGAGTCGCGTTGTATAAAAACACATGGAAGTCATTGAGAAATACAACCTCTCTCTCTCTCTATATATATATATATAATTATAATAAGGATACAAGTATAGTATAGAAATAGCTTACCATATGTTTATTTCGACATTCAGAGGTTAAATCGACCATCATTTTATTACAGTTAAATATATCCTGTTTAAGTTCACAGTTCTTATGCTTAAATAGTAATGACAAATGGAAATCGTCAGTCTTCTTGTTGTTGGCGTTGTTCCTGCTGCTGCTGCTGGTGTTGTTGAAAGAGAGATTCCGTGTTTTGCCTTCTAAAACTGACTACTTCCTCTTACTGTGTTAAACGACTGTCGGCAATTTTTGTTTGTTAAGATGACTTTAAAATCTAAAAAGGAAATACTTCAAAAAGAACAGAAACAAACAGTCAAACAAAACGACAGTAATTGTCTCCAAGATGTCTCCAACATGTGAAGCATACTTTTGTTATTCTCATCATTCATAAGACATTATTGTGCCTCTTTTTGTGCTCAAGATAATTAATATAAAAGATGGTCAAATGTAAATGGTTTGGTGATAACTTTTGTTTGTTTTACTATACCACTACTGTTAAAAGTGCTTTTAATGAAAGTTTCTTTTTTCTGTGTGTGCATGTGTGTATGTGTGTTTGTGTGATGTACAATTATTGATAGATAGACATTCCATAAGTTCACAGCAAAATTGGTCAATTTCTCAGTATTGCGTTATATATACACATATATATATATATATATATATTTCAAACTCTCTTTTTTTGACCAGTATTGATTATTTAATGTGAAAGATACGAGTTTAGATGTACATTAGATGTATTTTACAATACAAATAGTAGTAATAATAGCAATATATTAAATGTTCAATGTACTTAGTTTTGTTTGTTTGTTAAATCATTAACGAAACATGTAACCATGACAACAATATTTGAGCAGATTTTGAAAAGTTCACTGAACTGATTTTCTTAAAAATCCAATTATTTTTATTTTCACTTGAAGCTGTTTTATCATAAGTTTTATTGTACAGTATGTGTGTGTCATATTATATAATTTCAATGTTTCAATGTCGTAATAGATTCATCACGTTCAATCTCCAATGTCCAATATGTATAATTATTATATTGAATACATTGAATACACTGATGTTAATAAAATAGTAATTACGATATTAGTCAAGAAATTTAATGTGTTACGGTTCTACTGTTCCGTTTAATGCGTGCAAATACACATATATATATATATATGTTTGTGCACAGTGATTTGTCTTCACACCAATGTTGTATTGTTCTTTCCACCTATCAGACAATAAATACAATATATTAATAATAAGTGAATAAAGGCGATTGTGCAAACTGTGTAAAAATGCTTTGGATAAAGTCATCTTAAAATCTATTCGCCCAGTAGTTACTAACCTAGTTACTAATAAAAATACAGAACCAGTATGAATGCGTGTGTTGCTGACCAACAACGATTGCATCATTGCTAGTAAGCAGCGCACCAGATAAATGCACACAAAATCAGTAAAGCAGGTGTGGTGACTGTGCTAGGGGGAAGGGGAGGGAGGGAAATTGTGTAATTTCTTTGATACAGCAAGATGAAATAAGATTGGTACATAGGGAGGAGATAACAAGTTGGGAAGCACACACAAAAGAAGGGGGAGTTTGGATTGGATTGCCTAGAAAATTCATTGGGACTTTTTTCTCCAAGTTTTTCTTTCTAATGTGAATTTCTGATTTTTTTTTGATGGTGAGAGAAGTCAATGTAGTAGACACGTGTATTTTCTATCATCCGGAAAGCACAGCAAGACGAATAAGGAGGGTAAGAAAAACTAAAGAAAGAAAGAAGAGAAGAGGAAAGATGGTGAATAGTGATCAGAAATTTTGTGCTGATGAAGAAAACAATCATAGCACTATGTTATCCTGTTGGTGTGTGTTGATGTTATCCTTCTTGTTGTTGGGTTGTTGTTGTACTTGAATGCTTCCAACCTATGCAAAACTTAGTTCACATTTTCAAGTGAAAGTGTTGTGATAGTAGTAACACTCTGTAGGTGAAATAATTTGTACACAAACTCAGCAGGTGACATTGTAGTTGAAGCAAAAAGCAGAAAAAAAATATTTACAAGGAGGGATAAATCTGTTTTGTACTGAATTGGAGGTGGATAGTGGTGGGGATGGTTTGAATCGCAATTCTTCATCTTACAGAGGAAGAAAAATTGTGTTGGGAAAGCCATTTCAATAAGCTGTTAACACAATTCTTCCATTCTATTTCTATTCTATATTCTGTTCTAGTTACATTTGAGGTTGAACTTTTGATCTTCTATTTTCACAGTAACTAACTAGATTAGTCTTCAAATTGTTCAATTTAGTTTCGATCTGTTTGGTAGTCGTTTTATTTTATATATAAAACTACAACATTCCATATTAGTTTGTTTATTAGATGTATCACACAGTGAGTGAAACAGTATTATTTACTGGATGACAATGTTTCGAACAAAATTTATCACCGTCCATAATCATATCAATTGTAATCACACGACTTCGAAACTTGAGTTTTATAGTTTTCTTTGTCCCCTCCTATTTGTCGTCGTCGGGGTAGTAGAATTTTCCAGATATCTGCGTGGACAGGTGTCGAATCATTCCTATTACATGTATTTGCAGTTGATTCGATAAACAAAGCCTCCGTTGTAATCAGTCTCTCCTTATACCCTGTGACATTAGATTTCAAAACTGTCATCCTATCCCATCCATCCTATTTTATGGCTGTGTGTAATTGCATGTAATGCTATAGTTAACTTATTCTCTAGATTTCTTACCTTATTTGGGTCAACCAATCTAGATTTTGGTATGTTTTTATGTTCTGCTAGTCTGACTGACCCTGTTCTACTAGTTTGACCTATGTATTTGACCTGACAATCATTCCAGCAGGTAGGGTATTAGATAAACTAAATTGTTTTGTTTAATGTGCCCCACTGGAAGGATCCTTTAACCGACAAAACTTGTTTCTAATTGAGTTTGTGGTTGGTTTGAATGCCACTTTTATTGGTGACTTGTTAAGAATTCTGCGTGAGGTGGTTTCCGAGGTTCCTTCCTTGTATTGAATTACTACTGATGATTTAGATTCCTTATTGTTGGTGTCGTCATTAATATTATTATAATTATCATTGTTATCACTATTATTGTTATCCTTATTATTGTTATCATTATTATTATTATCACTATCGCTACTATCATTATTTATTTCATTTTTACATTTCCTTACATACTTTCTGACCAATTTATCGTGCTAATTATTAAGTTCCAAAGCTTCTCTTACATGCCTCACTTCCTGTCTTAGATTTTTCCTGGTACTACTTAGACATTTCACCAATCCTATTTTTACTGACATAGAGTGAGTGGGAAGATTGGAAATCCAAATATCTGTTTGAATGTGTGGGTTTCCTGTAAACACTAGTGTTTAACTTCTCATCTTCTTTCCTTTTTACGCTACAATCCAACACTGGAAGCTCCCCTTCCTGACTTTCCAATTCATAAGTGAGTTGAATTGCCACCATCTTTGAGTTAATGTGTTTGGAAAATCTTTGTCCTGTGTTCTAAGTACAGTGAATGTGTCATCTACATACCTCCACCATACTTTTGAAGTGGGGCTGAACGTTTAAATCACTATGTTTTCCCACCTATCCATGAATATATATATATATATAAAACTACAGCATGAGCGATTTTTCAAAGTTATGGAGATTAAGTTAACATAAGGGATTATCTAAGAGTTGTGAGGGAAAGGCGAAATTTTCCTAATGTCTTTCATTCGACACTTTGGATCCATGAAGGAGAAATACAGCTCGTGGAGTGTTACAACCAAAACCAATTCGTTCTAGTCTGAGTGCTGGGAAACTAATCTCTGCGTTCTACTAATGTGTAACTGTTCGAAACATTCTTGACAGACACACACAGTCAAAAACCTCTTCAAAGACAGGAGAAAGACGATTATTCTTCGATCAATCTGTGGTTCTATTCAAAAATAATATCATAAAAGCCTCAAAATTACTGAAATGATGCCGTTAGGTAGCATACTCTCTGTATACAGAGAGAATGTAACTTTCTAAGTTCAACACAAGTACTGTAGAATAAGATGAGTTAACCAAAATTCAACTGTCAGGAGAACTTGAGAATCAAGCGGAATATTCCCAACAAGATGGTGGGAGGGGTCAAAACTCTCTCCACCAGAACCATACACCAACACTTCCCACAGACAGTCTAAGATCAGGATCACCTTGATTCACTCAAATAAAATCACACCGTAAAGTGACACATCATCAATATTATCACACAACGATAAATAAAACCATTAAAATGAAAGATTAAACAGGGAGGAAGACATATAATACAGATTAAGTCATCATATGATATGCAAATATCCAACCAATGATATGCACTCTGAGGGGAGTGGAAACGGGTAATAATTACCAAGTTACAGGATTTCATCATGAGCTGACATTTGTTAGAGAACCTTTGGAAAACCTGCAGGGAGTACTGGACAGCTGTTTCCTCCATCCTACTTTGGGACTCTTCATCGGCAGTACGCACCCACCACCACGGTTCGAACCCAGGACCTTCTGGTTACAAGGTCGGCGAGCTAGCTCGTAGACCATTAAGCCACTGGAACCCACCCGATCCAATGGCCAGTGCATGAATTCCAACTTCTGCCAATTCACGACATAGCACAACCGCTGGCCAATGTCATCCGTGGAGAGTATTTGTTCTCAAACCCGACCTGATGCACCCTAATGGTCACTACTTCCCACTAGAACCCCAGTTAACTACCTACCTGAATAGGTCCAGTCGCCAGTCAGCATCTCATGGATATTCAAGTGTTGGTTTGTAGGTATTTGATTGATTGGTTACAGGATTTCACCATGAGCTAACATTGGTTGTGAATTGGTAAAAGTTAGAATTCATGGGCTTGCCTTCGGATCGGGTCCTAGTGGCTTAATGGTCTAGAACATGTTGGCCTTGTAACCAGAAGGTCCTGGGTCCGAACCCCGGTGGGTGCGCACAGCTGAGGGGTCCTAAAGCAGGACGGAGGAAACAGCTGTTCAGTACTCGCAGGTGATGGTTTCCAGTTGTTCTCTAAATG